CCGCGCAGCTCGGCTTCATCAGTCTTTATTGCTACCTGCGGCTGCCTCCCTAACAAACCGGGCTTCTGACTCATCCCCCCAAGGCACACGAGGCCAGGCCCTCAGCTGAGGGTCAGCTGCCTGTCGCTGTGTCTCCAGAACAAAGAGCAGGAGCTGCTTGGAAAAGAGATGAGAAGAGGGCACAGTGAGACGGGGCAAGGAGAGGAGGGCACGCTGTCCTTCAAACACCTGGTGAAGGACAGTATTTCATAAGACTGGGGTCTCACATCCAACTGCAGCTAGTGTTCAGGGCCAAGATGGGGATGTCCAGGTATCATCAGTCACTTGTTCGTTCTGGCAGCTGCTACCCTGAAGTATCCACCCGCCCACCCAGACAGCTAATAAACACTCCAAAAACTGCAGGTGGCAAAAGAAGTCCCCATCACCCCTCATCTTCTACCAAAGATGTTCAGGATGACATTTTTGGCTGCGTTCTGCAGCTGCCTGCCACCGCCCACAGGGATGGCCACCACTTGGGACAATGGATCCCCTGAATATAAACACGAGTCCGGTGGGTTAACAGTCTGCTGGCCAGCGTGGGTGCTGATCGTTGAGCAAGCACTGTGCTCTGGGGGAACAAGAGGCATCCTTGGAGCAAGACTGGCCCCCACCACACAGTCTCCCAACTAGGCAAGGGTGCCAGAGAGAAACCTCGAACAAGGTAAGCTCCCTACTTACTGAACAAAGACGTTTCAGTGGAAAAGATGTTGCCATTTCACATGCCAGTGTTGCAGCTTTGGCAGATTCTGAATGAGAGCAAACTCCATCCCCTTCCTGGCCTGTGACCTTGGGGCGGTGACTTAAATCTCTCAGCCCCAGCTTCTTCATCTGTAAAATGGGCATCTTAATAGGAAGCCTGGCGTGCTGTAGTCCATGGGGTTGCAAAGAGTCAGACGTGACTGAGCGACTGAATTGAACTGAACTGAAGAGTACCTACCCGATGGAGGACTATGAAGCTTAAACAAAACAATAGAAGTAAATTGCTTTGCCTGAATTGATGAGGCTTGGGACACTGTCAACACGCAATAAATGCCGATTGCTATTATTATCATTTTCCTCATTGTTACAAGCTATTCCATCACATCATGTACAGCAAGAGCTCCCCAAGCGACGCTTCACTGAGACTTGGTGCTTTAAGTTCTGGCCCCCATGCTAGGAAATTCACACAATTTCCTCATTTTACCTTCATTACCATCTTTGCTGGGTAGAAATAGACTCATGGGGTTCAGTGATGTGCCCAATGATACGTCAGCCACCACTTGGTCACTATAATCCCCCAAATTACTTCCACCATCCAGTATTGAATGGTGAATAATTACTGTTCCCATGTAGGCAGCAATTTTTTTTTTCATTCTGAAGAAGCTCCTTTATAGGGATCACAGAGGCTACCTGAACTGAGTCAGTTGGGGGTCAGAGATGCCCTCCAAGATGCCACAGACACACAGCTTATTGGTCCAAAACTGGTCCATGGGTGGAAGGCATCCAATGAGACAATACAGGGGCAATGTGGTATGCATGAAAGCAGCATGGAGTAAATAAATACAGCAAGGATGGAGGGATAAGTGATGGTTCTCTACTTCTCTGAGAAGCAGGTTCACTCCTGGGTCAGCATCCTCCATGTTGAGCAGCAGAGTCTGATATCTGGTGTTTTGTCCATGGCTAATCTTAGAGACGGATTCCTCAGGAGCCAGGACGCCTTCTACTCTCCTCCCTTCCCCTGCCTGTCACCCCCAGACCAGGGAAGCAGGGCGAGCCCCAAGAGGTTAAGTCCTTCTTGCAGCTCATTCGAGGTGATTAGGCACCCCAGGTCCAAGATCCGGCCACTCTGCAGCCAGAATCTTCCTAATGCTGACTTCCAGTGTTACCATCAGGGATAACAGGACGTAGGCTCACCGCCCTTCACAGCTCAGCCACAGCCAGAGCTGACAGTGACAAACGGGAGGATGGACTCAGCCTGGCAGGGACACCGCCTCAGAGGTTCCCTCAGCCAGGTCAGGGGAGGAAGGCTGGCACTGGGGCCCAGAGGCCAGAAGTCCTCCTCTGGAACTCAGAGTGGTGTGAGAACGGACTGTCAATAGTAAGGGGGAGCCAGTGCCTGCAGCTGTGTGCTCCCCACAGCCCTGACCCAGAGACTCCCAAACCGCCATTCTGAGTGAGTCAAAATATCTGCCTAGGAAAAGCTGCTCTGCATACTCCCTGGGTTAGCCTTAGAGTTCCTAAGCTTTGGAATGGACCTGCATAGAGTCTTTTATTGTACAGTTGGGGAAACTGAGACCCAGAGAGAGAAAGGAAGACGGGATGCAGGTTTGTGTTTGGATTCAATACCTGTAATGTGGTCAAGATCACTCACCTTTCAGAGCATGAGTTTCCTGATCTGTAACATGGGAATAATGGTATCCGGCCCCAAAGAGTGCAATGCATCTGAACTGTGACAATGCCACTGAGATGCCCAGCAAGGTCACATGGCCACTGGTGACAACACTAAGACCCAGCGGAGAGCTTCTCATTTCCTGATCTGGAGCCTCTTCCACCAGGATGCCTCTGCTTCTATTATTTATTAGGATCATCGAAAATAGGACTGGTCCATGGGAGTCCAGCTAATACTTGGGTTACACACTTGTTCTCTCCCTGAGACTCAAATGCTAGCTTTCTCCTTCCTGGGAGATCAGGGAGGGGCCTCTCTGCATACAAAGACCCGGACTGTCCTGAGAGAAAATTGTGCTTCTAGGGCCTCATAGTATCGGGAGCTGATTTTAATTCAGGTTGACTCTGATCCTGCCCACAGGCAGACAGGGAAGCGTTTCCTCTCAGATGGAGATGAGGGGCAGGCATGAAAATGGGGAACTACCGTGAATCCTTGCAAAACTCTGGGACAGAAGCAGGGGTCTGAACGTGCAAGTCTGACGGCTGTTTTTGTTTTTTGTTTTTTTTTAAGGTAAGATGGAGATATTTCTCCTCTGGCCAGAATTAAAGTCCAGGGCTATGGTCAAACCCTCTGAGGCAGCCATGCTGACATTCTCTCATACGATGGCGATGCCTGAAGACAGATGGCTGCCAGAGGCAGTGCCCAGCATCACGCCAAGGTAAATTCCAGGCACTCTTAAGGCCAAAAGGGAATTGGGTTGGGGGTGGGGGGGTGAACTGAAAGGCATTTAGCCACAGCCTCAAAATTAATCATGGAGCCAGAGGATGCAAATGACTCTAGGAGAAGGAGACAATAAACACCAGAATAGCGACTGCCATTATGAGGCGCTTACTGTGTGTCAAGTACTGTGCAGGCAACTTGACAGATATGAGCTTATCCAGTCCTCACAAACATCTGTGATGTGAAGCCATTGTTATTCCCATTTCACAGATTAAGGAAGCTGAGGCTCAGAGAGGCTCTTAACTTGCTGGAGGTCAGCACACTGCTCAAAATAACAGAGCTGGGGCTGGAACCCAGGCAGCCCCCTCCAGAGCCACGATGCCCTGCCCCAATCGGCTGCCAATACTCACTGCAAATGTCATCACCCCTTTCCCTTGACCAGGCTCACTGCAAGCCCACCCACCATCATGGAGTGTCTCTAATCCCTCTGACAGTGATTTCTCTTGACAAATTGATAAACTGGCTTTCTGGCGTCGACGTGTGTCGTGAGCACTATTTTAGTTTGCTTGATTCAGGGCCTGTAGCCTTGGGCACTGAGATAAGCCAGGCTCTGGAGCCTCTCCTGATATCCACACAAGTCTCTTCTGGTACCAGACCCTCCACTGAGTCCTGCAGTGGACTCAGGAGACACATGTGTGGACTGTAAACTGAGTCCACGGTTCTGCTCTGGGCCAACCATCCAGCTGGGGTAAGGCAGAGCTTCTGAACCTGACAGTCCTGACTCCAAACATTTGTGTCGGACATTCCATCTGCAGTTTTCCAGGGAGAGAACTAATAGATTGCATCCAATCCTTAACAGGTCCATGGGCTCCCTAAAAAGAATTTTTAAAACCTTTATGTAAAGATAAAGAACAGAATCCCACAGTTAGAGAAAGATGTCCTGCTGGGTATCTGAGGAACTTGGTTACAAAATCAGGCATGATGGTTAAACCTGTATACTCTGGAGTTAGAAGGAATCCTATTCAAATCCTGACTCAACTACTCCATAGCTGTGTGACTTTAGGTGATTCTTTGATGTCTCTGGGCCTCAATTTCCTCATCTATACAATGGGAATAATCCATGTGTACCACTGATTGTTGCCAAGAACTAAATGACATCACACATGTGTCTGATGCACACACTAGTGCTCAGTGAGCATCATTTATCACTTAGAGTAGCAACAGGTGGACATAGTCTGGCTGTATTAAGGGCACGGGGTTATTTCCTTCACATTCTAGCACCCCCTCCTCCTCCCAAGTTCCCAAGCAATAAAGTTGTTGTCTTGGCTGGAGGACTGGTTGGGCTTTTTTCAGGGGCTCCCCTCTGACCACATCTGCGCCTGCTCAGCAAAACGGGCCTCTGGGCAGAGAAGATTAAACACCTTCTGAGACTTCATCCTTGATCACCACAAAGTTCCATTTCCACCCCTAGAAATAACCACTTTGCGGCAAAACTCATGACAGCAGAAAGTAAGCCACCCAGGCCCCGCTCAGCCCAGTGTGAACCAAAATCCATCATGGAGATGTAAAGGTTACACGCATCGACCGGTGTGGGGGAGAAAATTACAAAATTGAATCAGAGACACCTTAGTCTATGGTGTCCAGGGAAAATCCTGTGACCGCGCAGCTGAGAAGCAGAGGAGAGAAAAGCCTGCTATTTCCTTGAATGTCCTGCAAGCTTGCTTCTCAGTGTCATCCCTACACACCTGCAGACACACGGGACCAGTGACAACAGCCTCCCAATTACGGTATTCTCATGGCAGAAAAAGCAGAGGGCACGCCCCGGGCGCGGAGTGCAGCTGGTGCAGCCGCCCGGGTGCGGGTGTGGAGGACTTACTTGCAGAGAAATTGACCTCGGAGTGGACGGGAGGGGTGGAGGGCAGGAAGGGCGCATGTCCCACGAAGAAGGAGCGGAGGGAGCGCTCAGACAGCAGCGGAGAGCGCTGCTGGGAGGGGATGTTCTCACAGCTGCCCACGCTGCTGTGGATCTTGAGGTTCAAGGGCTTGCTTTTCTTCTTGGCTCTGAAAAGGAGACAGAAAGAGAAGAGGAAAATATATCCCTACGCACACACAAATACAGCCGGGGACCCTATATCCTTAGCATAGCACTCCGCACCCACTCCCCATCTCCACCTGGCCTTGCCACCCTCTCCGCTTTCCGTCTTTAGGCTCCCCGCACTATATTCTGTGCTGTTCCTCCCCTCCAGCCCTTGGCCTATACTGTTCCCATCGCCTGGAAGACCCTCTCCTTCTTTGCCAGTTTAACCCCCACATGTCGTTTATAACTCTGGCTCTCGTATCCTCTCCTCCAGGAAGCCTTCCCTGACACCACAGTCCATCCCAGCCAGGGTCGAGTGTTCTTCCTCCAGGAAGCCTTCCCTGATAATCCCCATTTCCTCCTAGTTTGGGTTGGTGCTCCTCCTCCATCCTTCCAAAGTATCCTCTATGTATCTATGTGTCTGCACTTTCCTGTCTTTTGCAAATTTATTCCTGTAGGCTTTGTCTGGCTTCCCAGGTGGCATGGTGCTAAAGAGTTTGCCTGCCAACCTAAGAGACAGGTTCAATCCCTGGGTGGGGAATACTCCCTGGAGTAGGAAATGGCAACCATTCCAGCATTCTTGCCTGGGAAATTCCATGAACAGAGGAGGCTGGTGGGCTACGGTTCATGGGTCACAAAGAGTTGGACACAACTGAGCTTGCACACGCATACACATGCACACACACACTCTCTCCCACGTGGACTGAGGATCTTTGAGGGCAATTATTTTGTACTGTTTTCATTTTTCTGTCTTTGGCAACCAGCACAGAGCCTGACACAGAGTTGGTGCTCACGAAATGCTTGTTAAATGATCGCTCTGGGTGGACACATAGCATACGACGTTTGAATTCTCCTGACTGTGTGCTCTTCGGAGGGTTGGACCCTGTCATTTCTGTTGTTGGAACTCTCGGCCCCTAGCTCAGCCCCAGCTGAATAGAAGGTCCCTTTTGGGCTGATTTTGAAATGTTTCTGCCCTTCCCCAGGAGCTTATGTGATCAGCTGAAGAGAGTTTGGTTTAAAACTGCACCCAAAATTACCCTCACTTCTCTCCCCCTCACCTCCCCTCACCCCAGTGCCCTGTTCAGGTGTGGCCAGGAGTTGGGCGCCTTCCTGTGGTCAAAGCAAGCCCTCCTTGCAGATTTTCACAGCTCTGGATGGAGGGCGAAGAGTGTATTAATTTTAAGAGTGGAGGCCTCCCACACAGGCAGCCTAAAAGTCACCCTCTCCAGGAGGTCTGCTGCTCCTCAGCTTTAAGGAGTTCTAGCGGTCCCTGCGGAGTCGCCCCCTTGCAGTGCCTGCGCTGGTGGCCTTGCTTATTATCCCTCCAGGGGTCGGCAGCAAGCCCTCTTGTTAGAATGGCAGGCAGTGTTGGCTGGCTCACCCTGCCCGTGGTTGGAGATGAGAGGGGGGTAGGGCGCGGCATTTCATTCCACATGAGCGTCCAGGCGTGGAGGTTCAAAAAAGGCATCTGCACAGAGGGAGTGGAATGTAGGAGTTAAATTCACACAGGCTTTGAGGTCGGGGGGAGGACTGGAGCTCAGGTCCTGATTGTGATCTCAGGAAAGTGATCCCACCTTTCTGTGCCTCAGTTTCCTCACCTGGACAATGGGGGCAAATCATAGCACCTACCTAAGAAGGAAATCGTGATACTAATACTTCTATGAGATCACGTGCATGACACAGGGCGCAGCACAGAATTCAGGGTTCAGGTTACCTGCTATTAATGCAACTACGACCAGGTTAAGCTGGATGTCGGTGCAGACTCAAAGCAGGCACCCCACAGTGGCAGAACCGGGTCCACAGACTCCCACCCAAGTCCATGTGCCCCAACTCAGGCTGGGAACCGACATCCTCCACCTCATGAGAATTCTAAAGGACTGTGGCCCAGGTTTGATCCGTGAGTCAGGAGGACTAAACGTTTATTAACATCTTCCCAGTTACTTCTCAACTATGGGCTCCTGGAGGGCGGAGATGCACCTTATTTCTTTTGCCAGCCTCGGCCACCTCCGCCTGGGTCTGGCAGACAGCTCTGCACTCAGAAGGCTCCTGATGAATGCCCATTTGCCAACCCGCCTCTCAAAGCCTTCATCACAAAGGTTGCCGAGGGAAATCCCAAACTGATGGTTGGGCTTTGCACCATTTCCTCTTCCCAAAGTCTGCTGGATCTTGAGTTAGCTTAGTGAGCTGGATCCAGCTCGCACGGCCCCTCAGCTGCGTCAGAGGTGGGGTTGTGTCCCCTTGAACTCGAAAGCCTTCAGTGGCCAAATCCCTCAGCATCTCATTAACGGGGGCTGGGGCATCTGGCCCTGTCGACTGGGAGGAAATGACAGGGCTGGGACAGACAAGCTCCCTGTGGGCATGGCAGGAGGACAGGCGAAAACACACATTCTCACACACTACCCTGGGCGGCAGGGGGCTAATCCAGGAGCTATTTCCCCAAACAGGAAAAAATGCCCGCTGGTCTAACCCGGGGCTGTGTGAGCTGTTTCTCCTTCTCAAACTGGGCCATTTAAATCTTTTGCAGCCGGCCTCATCTAATTAGCTAAAGGGTGACCTCCAGGAAAGACCCTTTTCAAAAAGCAAAGAATAACACCAGTTCGTGGATGAGAAGGGGTGAAAGTTGGGGTGGGGGGTACTTAGGGACACTGTACTAAGCTGCTCAAAGGAAGGGGAAGGTTTGAAAAGCCTAAGGCTGGGAGAGTGTTTATTGAGAATCCACTCTGTTCCTTGGCCATAGGCAACAACCCTCATTTCTGGCTTAAGCATGCCTGGAGCAGGGCAAGAATCAATGGGGGCCTTGGCAAAAACAGGGGCACCAATGAGTAAGTCAAACAGCATAAGCTGCATTTCCCCGGGTGTGAAGGAACAGGCAATACTTTCAGATGAGACACGGAATCATGTTTGTATTTTAAAAGTTAAAATTTGAAATAATGATTTTGCACACCAAATCTATAATTTCATGCAGTTAATTTCCAGTATACAGCCTTATGTAAAATATACTAAGAAGAATTAAAAGAAGAGGAAGGGAAAGAAAAAGGAAGATAAAGAGAAAAAGAGGAAGAAGCAGATGAGGAAGAAGAAAGGAGCTGGAGGAAGAGACATCGGTTAAAAAAAAAAAAATGTCAAGTAAATTCTAGTATAGGTCTCACCAGAGCAGCTAATGGAGTTGACAACACCAAATGTCAATACAGAGCAACCAGAATTCTCATAAAATCCTGGTGAGACTGTGAATTGGTACAACCATCTAGGAAAACAATTTGACAGTAACTCTGGGAGTTGGTGATGGACAGGGAGGCCTGGCGTGCTGCGATTCATGGGGTCGCAAAGAGTCGGACACGACGGAGCGACTGAACTGAACTGAAACTGAACAATTACTCTGATCCAGTAATTTCACCTCAGGGTATTATGTCCTTAACCAAAATAACTGCCCGTGTCCACAGAATGACCTGTGTAAGAATGTTCATGCCAACATTGTTCATGTGGGCAAACACTGGGGACACTCTCAAGGTCCATCAATAGATAGAATGGATAAGTACATCATAGTATACTCATATATTTGACTGTAACTGCATGACAATGAAAAAGAGGGAACTACTGCTATACTACAACATGGCTGAGTCTCAAAGATACAGTGTTAGGCCAAAGAAGCCAGTCACAGAAGAGCATAGGCTGTCTGAGTCCCTCATGATTCCATTTACATCAAGTTCAAAAACAGGCAAGACTGATCCATAGTGAGAGAGGCCAGAAGAGTAATTTTTTAGGGGGAGGTTATTGACTAGAAACGGAACCAATAATCCTCAGTGCTGGATGTGTCCTCTGTATTGATTGGGTGGTACTGGTAAATAAAATTCATCAAACTGTACACAAAAATGGTGCATTTTACTTCTGAGTGGAAGTTATGCCTTACAAAAAAGTCTTTTAAATAACAGCAAAAAAGACAACCCAATTTAAAAGTGAAAGATTAAAAGATTTGAATGGACATTTCTCCAAAGAAGGTACACAAATGACTGACAAGCACATGAAAAGATGTCCAGCATTATTTAGTCATTGGGGAAATGCAAATCAAAGCCACAGTGAGATGCCACTTCACACCCACTAAGATGGCCATGATCAAGAAATCATAAAACAGTAAGTGTTGGTGAGGATGTGGAGAAATTGAAACCTGTGTCCACTGCTGGTGGGAATGTAAAAAAATGGTGCAGCCACTGTGGAAGACAGTTTGATGATTCCTCAACAAGTAAACATAGAATTACTATCTGACCCAGCAATTCTACTCCTAGATATATACCCAAGAGAATTGAGAACAGGTGTTCACACAAAAACTGTACACAATGTTTATAGCAGCATCATTCACAATAGTCAAAAGGTGGAAACAACTCACATGGCCATCGACAGGTGAATGGATAAACCAATTGTGGTCTATCCAGACAATGGGCTATTACTCAGTATTATGAAATACTGGTTCGTGCTACAATGTAGATGAACCTCAAAAACTTGGGCTAAATGGAAAAAACATGTGCAAAGGCCACACATGTATGATGATTCCATTTATATGAAATATTCTGAATAGGAAAACCTATAGAGACAGAAATCAGATTAGTGGTTGCCTGGAGCTGAGGTCAGAAGGGTAAATGGGAAATGACTGTTTAATGGGTCTGGGGTTTCCATTTGAGCTGACGGGAAATTCTAGAACTGGATAGTGGTGATAGTTGCACGAGATTTAGAATATACCTAATGCCACTGAATTGTACACTTTAAAATGGTATATTTTGTAGGATGGATAAACAACAAGGTCCTACTGTATAGCACAGGGAACTGTATTCAATATCCTGTGGTTTTCTGTGGATAAGGACAGCAGACAACACAGTGAGGTACTTCCCAAGGCCTGGAAATCAAGCAGCCTGGATGGAGGTCCTGCTCCCCTCATGTTAGCTTTGTGGTCATGGGCTAGTTGCTTCCTTGTTCTGAGCCTTTCTGCTTGTTT